GCAGATGTACTGAAATACTCTGCTGAGAGGAGCAGTGGGTGAGGCAGGAGAGGTCTGCTGTGCCATGTGGGTAGCTCCCTGGCCAACTGGGGATCGAACTCATGCTGCAGTGGCTGGTGATAGCTTGATAGAGCTGTCTTTATACCCTGAGCTCCCAGGGAGGCCCTAACACAGGCTCTTACAGCCTCGTTGCTACATAGCTCTCCTATTTAATCTCTTGCAGTCCCTTCAGCCAAGAGAATCAGATGCTCTTTTCTACCAAAGGACTTTTATCAGGCTCTTTCCTGAGTGGACTCCCAGAGTTACTCCTTATCTATCACTTAACTGCAGCTCAGCACTGACTTTTCTGATAGGGTCCTCATATTCTCCTCTTATCCGGTCTTGTATTTCTCTTCCAGAGCACCTGAAGCTGTGAAGTGGTAAGAATTTTCTGTTTGAGTACCTAATTTATGTCCATCTACTAGTTTCCTTGCTCCATGAGGGCATTACTTAGTTTGTTTTTGTTTTTGTTTTGTTGTCATTTTGTAGTCAATCAGGAAATAGCATTGCAGAGACTAAACCCAGGCAGACACCATCAAACCGTCGGGGACACAGGCACTACTTATTCAGCAATGATCATCAGTCACTTCCCTCACAGTACCCCAGCTTGCTCTCTTTTGGTGCAGGTATTTAATTTGACAAAAGGCTTAGGGTAGATCACCTCTCCAGGTTTAAGAGCATATGGTACGCCTGAGCCAAGATGGCTCCTGTATGTGTCACATCCTTTGTATCCTTATATGTTAATTGCTACAATGTCTGGCCTAGAGCTGGAGACTCTGCTGCCAATTCTGTGCATTATTTATGGATAAATTTCCCCACCACCATCACCATTTTATTCCAGAATAAATGAACAAATATCACTTTAAAAAGTAATGGCTCCAAAAATCAAATTGGAAAGAAAATGCTTTTGCTCATGCTTTAACCAAGGAAATAGCCCTTCCCCCTTGCATTTATTTAACAAGTGTTTGCTGAGGCCCCAGTGAGTTTTCAGTCATGATATTAAGCCTCTCTGACCCAATACTCAAAAAAAAGTCCCTGAAATCACTGAGAGTAGAGTCTAGGATAGAACATTATTGGAATGATCACAGTTCTACTGAACATGCAGTTAGAAATTATGTGAATGCTTTGAATGGGAGCATTCCTCGTGAATGCTTAACAAATTAGCTGAACTCTAAGGGGAATTGCAGTAGGGTTGGGAAAGCTTTCTTCACTGAGGGACTCTTGAGCTATTAAAATCCATAGTTAATTATGTGAAGGGGAGAGTTTAGAACATTTCAAGAAGAAAAATTAGAGTGTGCAAATGCCCTGTGGCTGGAAGTAGACTGAAAATTATGATGGTCTAAAAGAAGACCTGACAGGTTTGAGAACAGAAAGAAAAGGATTAGAATTGAGGATGGGAAGTTATTTAGGGTTGCGAGATAGTGATAGGTTGGCTTGTAGAAAGGATCAGTTTTATTTTCAGATCGTTGTGAGCCATTCTTAAATAACCATTATTAGGAGAAGGGAAGGAAAGTATGTAAATTCACAGCTTAATACATTTATATTAAAAATGAGGATTTTCTAATTATGATTCCTAGTCATTTTTTAAAATATTTATTTATTTATTTATACAAGCACCGGGCACAGTCAGAAGCACGGGAGGGTGAGAGAATTCACCAGAGCCAGAGTGGGGAGCAGAACAGGCAGACTGACAAAATACACTGCTGAGGGGAGCAGCGGGCACCGCAGGAGAGGTCTGTCGCGCCCTGTAGGACCCTTGCCAGTGGCTGGGATCGAACCGGTGCTGGAGAGGCTGTGGGCAGCTTCGCAGCCCAGCGCTCAACCACTGGGCCACCAGGGAGGCCTGATTCCTAGTCATTCTTATTTATTTTGCTACATTTTGGTATTGTTTGAGCTCCTGAGTTTGTTTATTCCATTCATATGCTGGAAACACTTTCTAATGATATACTCCTACACATTTCGTCTCAACCTCACACTAAATAATGCTGCATTTAATAACTTGAAATCAACCATGGTGGGAATTTATACCATGTATGTTGCAAACTTCAAATCAGGTTTCCCTTACACTTCTATGAACTAGGTGATAAATATTTGCCAGCGCACTACTGAGGCTTTGGAGACCATGTTAAGAACTGATTTTTATCACAGGAGATAAGAAGACATTGAAAGGTTTTAAGCAGGAAATGGACAAGAACATGTTTCTATTATTTTTGGTCTTCTTTTCCTTTCTCTCTTAACCTTACAGACCTCACCTCATTTACTAGTTTTTACAAGGATTTTGTTCTGTTAACTTATCTGCTATGAATGTTAATGCTGTTATTTGTCTTTGTTATTCTGACTTGCTTTACTACACATAATTCCCTCAAAATCTTTTCCTTTTTGCTATAAATGACAGCATTCCTTGTGGCTGAATAATATTCCATAGTATGAATATACATCTTTTTGAGCCTATCCTCTGTCAGTGTTCACTTAGATTGTTTCCATGTCCTATCTTTTATAAATAGCTGCAGTAATCATTATACAGCATGTAGTTTTCCAAGTTGCTGGTTTCACATCATTTGGATAGATGCCCAAGAGAGGGATTGCTGGGTCATTTGGTATTTTCCTTTTTAGTGTTTTAATGTAAATCCAGATTACTTTCCATAATGGCTATACCAGTTACATTCCTGACAACAACGTAACAGAGATCTGCTTTTTTCCCTTTCTCCCCAGCACTTGTTGTTGGGGGGTCTTTTCAATATATGCAGTTCTCATAGGTGTGAGATAGTATCTCCTTGTGGTTTTAACCTGCATCTCTCTTATTGGAAGTGACAACCTATTTCCATCTGCTGCCCATTTATTGATTGAGTTGCTTGAGAGCACATTTCTATTTGTAAAAGATCATGTTGACTACAGAAATGAGAGGGAGACACAAGGTGATTCTGGGAGATCCATATGATTCAGTAATAGTGGCTCAGACTAGTATCAAACAAATGAAAATGGAAAATGAGTGGATTTAAGATAAGTTTGATGTTAGCATGAACCAGTCACGTAAGACCCTCATCAGGAAGAAGTAGAATCTCTAAGTCCTCCCTAACCGTGGATGCTTATGATATTTTTATTCTGAACCCAATCCTGCCACCATATCTCTAAATGTCAGCTTCATAGTTTAACACACTTATACATGTGTAAGAGAGGAGTGAAAATTCTATGCAAGAAGACATGTGAAATGAAGGGACACTCTCCATACAGAAATAAATTACTTTTAAAGTGTCCATGATTTTTCCATCTTTGCAGATAACTAATAGTATACCTATGGCAGCTGTGAGAATGGCCAAGATCTCTAACTGCAGGAAGTGTTGATGGCTGAGAGCTCACTGGTGAGCTCTGAAATCTAGCATTTGAGCACAGACCATGCTTCCCACAACCATTCCATCGATGACTGAATAGGGCAGGGATGCTGATGCAAGGCTGAGTGGGAAGATGCCAGAGTCCACTGATGGGCACCTTTTACTGCATGACTCCCTAATGGCCTTTGGAAAATTTTCTTTAGAACTGCATTGCTTAAAATGCTTCCACCACCTGGGCCTCCCTGGTGGTGCAGGGATTATAGTCTCAGCGCTATCAAGCTATTGCTAGCCACTGGGAGATGACTTTGATCCCCAGCCAGGGAGCTAATCCACATGGCGCAGCAGACCTCTCCTGTCTCGCCTGCAGCTTCCCTCAGCAGTGTATATCAGTAGATCTGCCTGTTCTGCTCCCCCACTTTGTCTCTGGTGAGTCCTCTCACCCCCCACATCTCTGGCCTGTACCCCAACTCCTGTATGCATAAATATTTTTTTTAAAGGAGATGCTTCCACCTAATTTTCCTGTCTTTACAATCACTCTCCTTTACTGGTTGTGGGGCCTACATCATGGCCTGATGGATCTGTCAGCCTTCTTCAATTCCCTGTCTCTGCCTTGCTCTGCGGCCAGCCTTGAGTGATGGTGAATCGGGTCTCCTAAGTCATAGGTGTCTTCTACAATGCATATCCCTGGGTCCAAGAGATTTTCCATTCCCTTCTTCATGGTCAGACAATTTTGGTTTCTATCCTTTCCTAGAAGCAACAGAGTATTGTTTGTACCCTAAATGTTAGAGGCTTTCTTGCCATTCCCCCGGTGCTTACGGCTTCTCTTTTGTAGGGGAGAAGGGCCTGACAAATGGATAGGATTTTGTGCATCTGTGCCCGTGAGGGACTCTTTCTAGTCTCTGCCCTGCCCTGGGTGTCTCATATGAGAAGCTTATTGAAAGGAGGCATAGTGAGGTCAGAGCATTGTGTCTGGGCTGCGAGGGATTCTAAACTGCCTTGATAGCATATATCCCACCCGAACCCTTAATTACTCATTAAAGTTTCAGCTCTTACTGCCTTTGGTAGATGCTGCGTCTTTTCCCTGTGATTTACTACCAAAGGTGAGACCGTCCATAATCAATGTATCTTCTCTGTCCCGGAGGCCATGAAGCTCTTTGCAGTTCAACTCATTTGGTTAACTCGTGATTTCAGTTCTCTGATGGTCTCAAAATGGTTATAGTTTTGCAGATGATCTGGCTTCTTCTCATTTTTTCCCCGAGGTTAATGTTCTTATAGCTTTCCACATGCTAAGCAGAAGGAAAGCACACACCAGCCTGGTTGTAAAAATCAGTATGCATTTGCATCAGGATTTTATCTTTGGTGAGTGTAGCAGAGTCAGAAATAGAATGTGTACATAAATAATATAATATATTCTAGGCATGTGAAATGATTATATCATGAAACAGTTGACACTCTGTTACAGTAACTACTCTGTAAACTTATTGAATGAAAACAAGGAGCATCAGTAGCACACAAGGCTCTGAGTTAGAAAAGGCTCCCCTTGCAGATGGCAGCGAGACAGGGGGAAATTGGCTTCGTGGCTATTTTGTTTCGGTTCATGCTTCAACACAGTGACCTTTTCCTCTTCACCAGGTGGTTGACCAGATCGACACCCTGACCTCTGACCTACAGCTGGAGGATGAGATGACTGACAGCTCCAAAACCGACACCCTGAACAGCAGCTCCAGCGGCACCACAGCCTCCAGCATAGAGAAGATCAAAGTGCAGGCCAACGCCCCTCTCATTAAACCCCCTGCCCACCCTTCCGCCATCCTCACCGTCCTGAGAAAGCCAAATCCTCCACCACCGCCTCCACGGTTAACACCTGTGAAGTGTGAAGACCCCCAAAGGGTGGTGCCCACGGTCCATCCCGTGAAGACCAACGGCACCCTTCTGCGAAACGGAGGCTTACCCGGAGCACCAAGCAAAGTTCCCAATGGAGACCTCTGCTGCGTACCCAGCAGTACCTTGGACAAGGCTCCCGTGCAGCCTCTGATGCACAGACCTGAGAAAGACAGGTGTCCCCAGGTGGGGCCCCGGGAACGCGTCCGGTTCAATGAAAAGGTGCAGTACCATGGCTACTGTCCCGACTGTGACACCCGGTATCACGTGAAAGGCAGGGAGGGGCACCTGCACAGCGAGCCTGGCTTCCCGCCCGGAAAGCTCCCTCACCAAGGCCCGCCCCTCCCGCCACCCCCCCATCTCCCACCTTTTCCACTAGAAAATGGGGGACTGGGAATAAGCCACAGTAACAGCTTCCCTCCTCTCAGACCTGCAACTGTGCCTCCGCCTACTGCACCCAAACCACAGAAGACGATCTTGAGGAAATCAACCACCACAACAGTGTGATGTATGCCATTTTTAAAAACTTTTTGTTTTTTTTTTTAATTTCTATATTATAAACATAAAATGATAAGTAATGAGCACTTTCTACTCAAGCAATAAAAAGCCCAAATATATTAATCCTGCATTCAGCAAAGTGGCATAAAAATCGCCTGGTAAGTATGCCGTCTATTTTTATCCGGGTTTACATGATTTAAAGCGTTGTACCATCAGAACCCATAGAATATTCTATGAAAGAGCTGAAAATACTAGTTTTGCAATTGACCTATGACAACTGGGGACCTGTCATTTTCAAATGTTTTGATTTACTCTCAGAAATGGGGTTAGATTTGTTTTATTCGCTAACTCATCTATGCATTAAGAATACGCCATTAGCTTTAATCTAATGCTTTTTAATAAGAAATTTTATACTGAATGACTGCTATTTTTTCTGAAGATGTTTTTCACTAGTTCTGTATTATTAAATGCTATAGTTAGCACTGGAAAAGTTATTTTCCATAATATGCAGTTATGATTATACGTTTAGCTGTATATGTAATGAAATATTTCGGTCTATGGAAATATGTCAGTATGTTAGGCCCAGTTCCGCCTTTCAGTTTGGTGGTGGCAGAGCACATGGAACCTCCCTTTTTTTGTGGAGATGCCTCTGTTACAAATACACAGTAGGAGATAATAGCAAACCAGATGTTCTGAGGATTAAGAGGAAACAGTGGGACATTTAACCCCATGTTAGTACCCATGAAAACAGGTAGCAACTCTGATGGTTTGGGGACCATCACAGTGAGTGTATGTCAGAAATTTATAAATTAAATATAATTAATAAACTTTGCACACTGTCCTATTACATACCTCTATTTTTGTACCACATCTGCTGAATACCTGCTGCCCTGTCACCTGCTTTAGACCTTTCTGGCACTCAGTGTTCCCCCAGATGACTGTAAATCAGCACATTGAAGTAGAGGCCTGTTTTGCCTCTTGCCTCAGCAAGTTCTCTGCTCCCTGAGGAAAGCCCCACTTGTAAGAGAATCATAGGGGGAAATCCATATGCTCTGTAACAGGGTGGTTTAGCTTTAACCCTAAGTTGATTCCATGCAGAGTTTTCTGGTTATTACATAGAAGGAAAAGATGTCCTTCTTAACTTTGATTAAAGGTCCCTCTCTTCAATGTTCTTTGTCATCTTAGGTCATCTGTCCCCCATGGATCAGTTTACTTCCCAACTGCCATAACTAGGACTAACCAGATTTGTCCTGGTCACATATTTGCCTGAAGATAATTGGCCCATTATGTGGCAAGAGTAGAGGGAGTCGTCTTTTGGTGGAGATTTCTTTGTATTGTAACTTAACAATGAGTACTATCCTTTTTTTTTTTTTTAAAGATTTATTTATTCATTTATTTATTTATTTATTTATTTATTTATTCATACAAGCACTGGGTACAGTCAGAAGCGCGGGAGGGTGAGAGAATTCACCAGAGCCAGAGCGGGGAGCAGAGCAGGCAGAAGGACCGAAGTACACTGCTGAGGGGAGCAGCGGGCGGCAGGAGAGGTCTGTGCACCATGTGGGACCCTTCTCTGGTGGCCGGGGAGCAGCCGGGGATCGAACCGGCGCTGCAGAGGCTGCGGGCAGCCTCGCAACCCAGCGCTCAACCGCTGCGCCACTGGGGAAGCCCATATCCTTTTTTTCTTAGTATTTGAATTTTAATCTCCAAACTTAATTTTTGGCTGTACGGGGGTGTTGTCTTCAATCATGTTTCTTTATCACATTTCTTGGGCTATACTACCTTAATTGGGAATATTGCCTTTAAACAACTTCCTATTAAAAGATGATGATATATCTTAGGCAGGGTGAGAAAGAAATTTGGCTTTGTTTTTTAAAGGAGCAATCAATAAGTAAAATATAGAGATGTCTTATTAAAAATTTATGCAGCATGATTTTTGTTCTGTGTGTGGGAGCTGAAGGTAATGAAGAAAAGGAAGTTATAAAACATAAGATCAATAATCAAGAAAGACCATAATCTAAAATTTATTAACTACATGATCTATATGTTTAATAAATATGGGCCAGATAAAGAAATAATTGACTTATTGAATAACATGATATTCTTAATGCAGCCTTTTAAACTTGATATAAATAAAACCAGGGTTTCATCATCTTTCTAGAGTTAAGTAATTACTGCAGTGTTCCTGCAGTGTTAGATCTTGTGATATTATAAACAGTCATAGAAGACATGAAATTTTTTCCCTTCAGCCCACCTTCCTTCCACAGGCAGTTACTGTGACCTAATAATTATTACTTTATAGTTTAAACCCTTGGCCCTTAACAGTGACTGGGGAAAAATCTGGATCTCAAGGTAAAGCTTGTTGGCAACCACAAATCATCCAAAGAGCATAAGGCATATTGAATAAGTTGAATAATTTAAACCATCTGAATAAGGACATTGATCCAGATACCAAGACACAACTTACAAGGTTCAAGTTCATTTCTCCCTCAAAGTATATACAGAATGAGCCCACAAAAGACTATTTTTTTTTGTATTTGCTTAGTAACATGTACTAAAAGTACATCTGTTTTTATCCAATGCATTTATAAGCAGAGGTCTAGAGAGTGAGTTAAATTCTAACCATCATTAACCCTCCTCTCTCACTGCAATTTATTATATAACCAACAGTGAATGTCAGATTACAGGAATGTTGGGACTTTGTTTTGTGTTTATTTGCTCCATATATTACTTCATTTTTTTTTTCATGAATGTATCAAATACAATGGGCCAATAAGTGTTTGTTTTTTTTTTTCCCCCAAATGAGAATTTTGCAACATTCACTGGGCCTTAGAACTTTAAATACAAAGATATGAACCGTGGAAAGCAATTAACATAGGATGCCATAATATTTGAATGGAACCTTATAATTAAAGTGTTATAAGCGGCAGTGCAATTTTTGTAATCAGCCAGCATTGCTTTCACATTTTTAAGTTCTGAGATACAGGTTCAGTACATCTTCCATGAAACCAACATAAAGCATGGTACATATTTCCTTTTCCTCCAGATCAGAAGTGCTTTCCTTAAAACCCATGGGCAGGTCCTTTTTTCACAGTATGTAGTTGACACTTTTATTCACACATCAAGCCTATACAGAGCTAGTGTCTACCCTCCTTTGAAGGCCCCATTTCTACAAAATATACAAGTAACACTTCCAATCCCAACACCCTTTTATAGTTCAAGGTAGATCGTGTGTATCACAAAACGCAATATCCAGTAACTAAGTTGAAATAGGAAAAGTTTTTTTGTTAGTTTACAAAAGATTGCCCTTTTTTGTGATGGGGAGTTATTATCTCTAGTGGTGAAAGGTAAAAAGAAAATCAAAATTAACCACAGGTTTCTTCCATCTCCCAGAAGTTAAAGGGAAACGAACACTGATATATTTTTAGGGCATACATAGTTAAATGTAAAATTGCATGCCCAAAATTACAGGGCATGCAAAAAGGGAGATTTCCATACTTCCTATTTTGTATTGTATTCAGATCTCCCTTCATTAGTTTAATAATATTCTGGGAAAAGCGAGTCTGCTATTCACTGAAGTGATTTAATTAACCTAAAAATATCTTGAATTTGGATTATGCCTGCATTTAATTATTTATTGAATTACGCAATAAAGCATTGCATTACATGGTATCTGCACTTAGCATGACCAAGGGCAGCAGCTATATTCAGTGTCAGGAACCATGTCAGAACAGCTTCTAATTATAGCTCATTCTGGACGCTCCATGAAGAAAAGCCTGAGTAGTTCCACATGAAATTGCAGTGGGAACCGTGTATTCAAGTCACGAATCACCATTTTGATTTTTTTCTACTGGAAAATATGTGACAGCACAACATCCAGCCTTGTATTGCTCCTCATTGTTTCTTTCTCACAGTATGTTGGTGGTGTCTTTTGCTATCATGAACACTCTAGTGGTAGCAAAAAAAAAAAAAAAAAAAAAAATTGCATGCTACAGCCTGGATTCAATCGTTGGCCAGGGAGTTAACCCACATGCCACAGCAGACCTCTCCTGCCTCACCCACTGCTCCCCTCAGCAGTGTATTTTAGTACATCTGACTGTTCTGCTCCCCACTCTGTCTCTGATGAATCCTACACCTCTAGCCTACTCCCCGGTTCTTCTACAAAATAAATATTTTTTCTAAAAAACTGTATGCTAATGCAGTTTGGTAAAATCCTGATGATTTCTCAGGGAGAAAATGATTTATGGGCATTAATATTTCCTAAAAGTTTGCATTGCTTCATTAGGTAAGGTGCACAGAATCTAAGAATACTGAGACACCATCACCAGATCCCATGATGCTGTCTGTGAAACTGTGACAATGTATTTAAACTTTTAGACTAAGTATCTTGGAGCTGTGGAATGATTCATGTCGCCTCTTTCTGAAATGATGACGGCTGTGATGCTGCCATTAGGGCACACAGCAGGCTTGAACATAAAACTGCAGTTGGCTTCATACAAGTGGAAGAGCAGCCACATAGGGTGTCATTTCATTGGCAGCACTTAGATTTATCATTCTGGTCTTCTTGGAAAAAAACTAAAGTGGAACAGAAAGAAGCTTTTGAAATAACCCTCTCTTTAAAGTGTACTTAAATTAACATGAGGTATAGGATTGTGTGAAGAACAGGGAAAAATGAGCAGGAAATATTGCTGATAATTTGTGCTTCTAAACCGATCAGAGATGGGTAAATTAGTATTATTACTGCTTTCTGAAACTTTACATATATTAGAGTTTCTGTAAGTCTGATACCAGGGTATAAAATAGAGATTGTTACTCTGACTTACAAATGAAGAAATTGAGGGCCTCACTTGAAATATTTTGTCATAATTAGCCCCCTAATAAGCCTCTGTGCTGGCATTGTGCTGCTGACATGATCCCCCATAATTTTTCCCCACAATATCACTATTTAATTGTGTTCTTCATAGCCCCGAACTTTGCAGAGCTTTCTTTTGTTCTGAGCAGTTATTTTGACGCTTGAAAGGGGTTACCTAATGTTGTTTTGACATTCTTAATATGTTTGATCTTTGCAGAGTATGAAAAGGATTTCAGGCAATTTAGTCTAAAATGAATGAGCTGCTGAATAATGCAAGCCTCATTTTCTCATGTTTTATACCCGTGG